GATACCAGTCAGCAACGGAGTCGCTACCCGTTCTGAATGGAGGAGGCAGACAGCGCGATGCCATTACAGCCATTACAGTGCATAAATATTACTTGATATATTTGGTTTATGTGGCGGCCCCTTTGAATTTCACAAGAGTTAGGCTGGCAGCAACCAGAAGTGCACCACAGTTGCAGCGGCAATTTTAGATAATGATGCGACCAGACATAAACGGCCTTAATTATCGAAACAAAACGCACGACCGGAAGGGAACCGTCCATCTTGAAGAATCATCCGCCCCCTGATTCTTGTAAGCACTATAAAAAAAGAACTCTGTTAGTGGACTGGAGATTTTAGCCTCGAAGTGTCTGTCTACATGTGTTTGTGTTTCCAACATGAACGTTTTTAGGACTGAACCTCAGTAGAGTTTCTCAACCCGATTTTTTTGTTTGAATTTCATTCACACAATAAAATGTGTGAACAATAAGTTCCATGATGAGTTCTATTTTTTTCATTAAAACATTTTTTTCGCCTTAACAGCAACGCCACTGTCGACCGGTAATAGTCTGCCGATGACTAATGCTGGCCGTTTCGCGTTCTCTATGAGTCTGAATTCCATATATGACTGAATAACTAGCATTAATATACTTTTGAATAAATTGTATGATTTTGGACGATGGTATGGGCGAATTTTTTTTGTGAATTTCTGTCATTTAAAGTTTAATTTCAGCATGCACCACAACTGCTGATGTGCTTCATAAAGAACCAGCTGGTCCCGTGATCGTTACCGAAATACCCGGACCAAGGTCGAAAGAGTTGAAAAATTCTTTAGGCCACATTCAGGTAAACAAAATGTTTCTTCTTCACACAGGTATGTAAAGTTTTGTCTTATTCAGTTCTACTCCGTATAGTGACTTTAGAAACTTATAATGTAGTGTATCGTAACTGTTTATGCAGTAACCAAGTAAATATCAGTATCAAAGCTATCGACCGGGAGTAGGTTAATTTCTGACCAGCTGTTTTTGAGGGGTCCTCTTATTAATATCATGTATTTTCTGTTGGTTCCTTTCTTGAACTTCTGCTAGATGAGGCACCGCTCGTAGTGTTGAACAAAATCCGTAGGAAAAAGCTAGTGTCAGAGTTCACTGGTTAAACATTCCAGCTGGCCAAGCCCTTGCGAACCGTCATCTACAACTTCATGCGGCGAGGAGGCGACACATTAGGATCGAGGGCAGACGGAGGTAACCCCAGGTAATGATACGACAAGGATCGCTCCTTATTTAGGGCCATCTTCCATTCAGAGGTTAAAAGATATTGTAAATAAAGGTCGCCATGTTCTCTTTTAAAGATTGGTAGAACAAAATCTTATCCATCAGTTCACTAATTTAGTGAAATTTTGAGAAAATGTTTTCATGCAATTGTTGTAATGATTTCTCCCCTTATTTTGAGGAGAGTACCGTTTATTTTCCTATTGACTTAATGTTGAACAATTTTCAGAATGCAGAAGAGGTAAAATTCTTCGTTGATTACGATAAATGCATTGGAAATTACATCGCGGACGTAGACGGTAACCTAGTGCTGGATTTCTACAGTCAGATATCTTCTCTTCCGTTAGGTAAGTTTATGGAATTATTCAGTATTTGAATGACACTGTCGAAAATTCAGCGCATTTCTTGATAAAAGGCCTTAGAGTTGTTCAGGTATACATTTATATTCGTCCGCAGTCAATAAGTTAAATTTACTTGAGTGAACCTGAGGCACATGATAAGTTACTAAAATTTATATATAACAAATGAACAAATGCGTAGCAACGAAACAAACACTGAAAAAATATGCGTATATCTACATAAATATATCTGAGTACACAAAATTCAAAACTCTCAGTTTACATTTTAACCAAACTATAAGGCTTTTAAATTATTCATGCATGTATTATCAAACGCTAAGCAAAACGCGAAAGTAGGTTTGCCAGTGCTAGCTTAGCTCCCTGCACCACTGTAGCTACTCTAAGGCGCTGTATCGCCATATTTCCAGTAAGCACTGTATTGCTGCACTTACAACGCGAAAACTGATATGCCAGCAACCTACTCTATGTTAGCAATACAATTCTATAATCCGGATCTGATTTTCAGGATACAACCACCCCGCGATCGTTAACGCGATTCAGAAGGAACAAAATCTAGTAAGCATCGCAACTTTCAATGTTATTGAATGTATTTCTATAAACATGTTGTTAAATTTTTAGGCGCTGTTTGCAAATCGTCCAGCACTGGGCGTATTCCCGCCGGCGGACTACATTAATTTATTAAACAATGCCCTTTTGTCGGTGAGTACATTTACAGTTGTGACTTAAAATTCAGTGCTAAATTTATTCGCTTAAATGTCCCATTGAACGGTTGTGAGTGTCTGTGGAGATCATCACTTTGAGCCATTTTAATATGCACGACGGCGGCTCCGGTTTGTGACGTCCGCTGCAATCCCAGCTTTTAAATACTGACTACTGCATAGTAGAACGATGTAATCTTCTCAAAAAGCATTTCTTCGTCTATATTGTTCCTTCTTGTTGCATGCTACCCTCTTGGCCGATGTCTGTTATGGTTTGGTTCAGACACGAAGAGTTCATGGACTGAAGTGAATCTTTAATGCTCAACCAGTATGCCTAACAGTGGTAACCTCAATTTCTTGATTTTCACATTTACTGAGGTCATCTGTGCCTGGAACGGAATAGAGCCGCTGAATGGACACGGCGACATTGACCCATTCAACTGATACTACTCTATATATTTGTGCAAATAACAACTTTTGCAGAAAGTGATTTAGAACAAATGACTGAGGAAATGTGTTCAGTGCAGCGTGGCTTCGTTTCTCATACACATGGCTTACAGGATTTGTATTTGGAGCGTTTTATGACCCCTGTATAGGCACTTATTTGGGGTTATCTGTGATCCGGGCATAATCTAAAAACATCGGGCAGAGATTCGGCGCTTTGACTGGTGCAGTGTTGCTCTCCTCAGCAGGAAAGTTTCAAATTTTCGAAAGCAACCTGTAAGCCAGACAAAATAACGTACGCAACATAGTACAGTGCAGAGAAAGAGGAAAACGTTCACCAAGCTAAAATGCACTCTTTCACGAGGTTTCCTGCTCAGACACCGAGCGAAAGGCCAACTTACCGCACCGCATGTATAAACAAACAGTCAGCATAGTTTTATTGCTATTAACGACCTTCGTCCAGACATCTGTTATCAGATACAGCTATTATTTAGCGGCTTGCATGCAGCACAGCTGTTTCAAAACGTCTTTCCAATGATTTTCATTAACCGCGCCTAATGTCACAGTACGCTGGCTGAGTACCAAGACGCCACGGCGCCAGGCGTTCCATGGGGCTGTGAGTTGCTTTATGTTGCTTGTCATGGGACTTTGTGAGGACAGTTTTCGTTTCAGTCTTTCTTTTGAAATCCTCGTCACAAGACCAAACCATTGCAATTCTAATCTCATTAGTTTTTAGAAGGAATCAGTATTCTGAAACTTCTCAAGTCCAGTCATACGAGCAGTGCTTCGAATGAGTGTCGTTTTTGGTAGAAGGTGTTTAGACATTGTGTAAAACAGGGATAGCCTCACATTACTGCTCATTTAAAGTTCGATTCTTAGTTCACATGGATTTGTCTCTTCTACGAAGACTGTATGAAGTTTTCAGATTAGCAAGTCACATTCTCACATTACAGACATTCGTTTCCTTTCAGGTAGCTCCGGAAGGCATGAAGCGCGTCGTAGCGACAATGTCGGGAGCAAATTCAAACGAAAACGCGATTAAAACTGCATTTATTTGGTATATGGTGAAGAGTGATGTTTCGATTGTTGATTGAACTTGATTTATAAACTAATGATTTAAGACAAAGAGACGTGGTGGCAAGGGACCCTCGGAGGCGGATAAGGACGCTGCCCTTCATCAACAAAAACCGGGTTCCCCGTCACTCAGTATTCTATCTTTTGACAAAGCGTTTCACGGAAGGACTTGCGGTGAATTTCTCAGTTCCTCTAGCTGTAAACTTTTCTTCATAAGCCATTTCTTGTTTTGAAGCTTGTTTGTCGTTGTGCCATACGAAGGGCATTCATAAGGTTGACATACCTGCCATGGACTGGCCGGTAGCGCCATATCCGGAGTACAAATATCCAATCGAGCAGCATCTATCGGAAAACCAGCAGGAGGATCAAAGATGTCTTTCGCAGGTACTCTTTTTAATAGTTTTCGTGTCCCTAGCAGAGAAAAGATGTGCAGGTGAGCGAAGTTAACTGTATTTACCATGATATACCGAGACAGTGATTCGAGTGTATTACCTATTTTCTTTGCCACGTCTTTTCTTAACATTCTCATGTCATTCATTTTGCTCTAAGTCTAACGCACGTCGTTTCATTTTGGAGTCCATTTCCTCAGCGACCTCTATGAGTATCTCAACAACGATGAACTGGCTTTTTGATGTTCTCCTTGGTTGGAAGAACGGGCTAATCAATGTGCCGCTTGAATGAATTCCAAGAACTCTTTGCACAACGTGCCAACCATTTTGTCTTTCCTGGAAATGGTATAGGTGTATCTGTAGGTTGTTCTACAGGCACGCAGCATTGGCACGCAGCGGTACTTCAGTATATCATACAACTTCTTCAGACTTGATATGCTAATTTAGTTTAGTTCTCGTTAAATGCCCTAGTGTTTAAAGTTAGGTTTCTTCCGTTCTACCTTACATGGATGATGGTACTCTTTCTTTATTCCGATTTTTCAGGTTTCTTCATTTATACAAATTCAGAGATACTAATCCTTCCGAATGTTCCTTGTTGAGCGTGTTAAAGTTGCCCTGTTTCGTTTCGTGTATTTGAAGTAACGGCCTGATTGTCTGTTATCCACAATTCACGATCATGATTCTGGCCGATAATTATGATACCTCGTTCATATATTGTAGGTAGAAAGCCTGATAGATGAATGGAAAGACAAAAAAATGGACGTTGCCGGTCTGATAGTCGAACCGATACAGGCAGAAGGAGGAGACAACCGTGCTTCAGATGATTTTTACCGAGAACTACAGCATATCTGCAAAAAGGTAAGGAAACTGAGCTCGTGTTGCCCCTGAATTTTGATTCCCCTCTT